TCTCTCCCTCATTCTCCTTCCCCTCATCCCTTCTCCTTCTCCCTACAAGTGACACGGAAAAAAAGCAGAGTCTTTTCGGACAGGTTCCCCATCGGCAACTTTCACGCCCAGAGCAGAGCAGAGGGATTGCAAATCACGAAGACTTTCACTCTCTGGCTGAGATGGTCCACGCGGAACTCCAAGACGATTGTTTTGATTAGGGCGTTAATGAGGATTGGAAATGAGAGATGATTGGGGTTGCTTGTGGTTAGGCTTTTCTTTAATAGGGTGAGCTAGTTTATAATTCGCGTGTTATTCCGTAATTAGAGTTGGGAGTAAGGTATCTAATTCGTCGCTTTATAGTTAAATTGTTCTAAGAGATGATCGTTGCTCTACAATTCGTTTTGTATTAGGATAAGAGTTAATTGGCATTTTTATACACATTTTTCACCTGATAGAAATCATATAGTCCGTTGAGAGTGGGCGTGCGGTCGAGATTTCTTTCGGGCGTGTTAATCGCACAACAAATTTCTCCCTGTTGTTTCTCTCACAAGCGAAGGGGCGTCGCAGTCGGGTTGTTCATTCGCAGCGCACGAACTGGCAGGGAAAGGTACAAAAAAAAAAAATTGTGCGTGTTGTTAGTATAGCATTTAAGTAAAACCTTTTTTGTAAGGTAATGAAGTTGGCATTTCCGGAATAAAGGTGCTGTTTAAGTGTTTTAAAATGATATGTTAGTTGTGGGGTGGAGATATTCTCTCTCTCTCTCTCTTTATTTTCTTTCTTTCTCTTTTTCTTTTCTTTCTCTCTCTCTCTCTCTCTCTCTCTCTCTCTCTCTCTTCTCTTTCTCTCTCTCTCTCTCTCTCTCTCTCACTTCTCCCTCTCTCTCTCTCTCTCTTCTCTCTCTCTCTCTCCCTCTCTCTCGCCTCTCCCTCTCCCTCTTCTCCCTCTCTCTCCCTTCCCTCTCCCCACCCTCTCCCTCTCCCTCTCCCTCTGCTCTCCTCATTCCTCTCTCCCCTCTCCTCTCTTCTCTCTCTTGCTTGCCTCTCTTTTTCTATTTCTCTCCTGTTTTCTCTCTCTGCTTCTCTTTTTATCGTCTTCGTTCCATATAACAATTTCCTCCCTATATGTATTTCTGTCTCTTCCTTTCTCCAACCTGCTCCTCGAGATACACATTAGCCATATCAAATTTCAACTAGATATTCTGCGCATGCGTGAAGGAGAAAATGTTCATAGGGCATGTCACTCGCTTTTACGCGACAGGTCAGTTCGTTTTATTTGTTGTTTTTTCTCGTAATTCCGAGGGATACGAAGTAAAGGCAGGGAAAAATCGTATCAAAAGAACGTCGTTGCTTTGGGTTCAGGACCAGTGAAGTTCTCTGATTCGCCTGAACGCGACCTCGGCGGGGCGACCCTTGACCAAGAACAGCCGGGTGACCAGGAGGAGCCGAAAGTGAATTCCTGACTTAGCGGATCATTGGGTCGGTTTCTCATCGGTTTTTGTTCTATTTTTATCCCACAGGACGTCATGAGGTACTTGACGGCGGTGGTGGCGCTAGCGGCATGCGCGGCTGTCGCTCATGCCGGCACTAGGGACAACTGGTCGTGGGGCGCCGAAGACCATGGAGAGGCCCACGCCTCTGCGCCTTCATCTATCTCGTCGGCCGTGGCCTCAGCCCCGTCGTCGGGGTCGCCCAGGTCCGTCTCCTTCACCGCCAACAACGACCACCAGTTCGTCGACTCCGGCGCCACCATCGTCAGCGCGGTGAAGCAGAGCCAGAGCGTGATTCCTCCTACGATTGTGATCTCAGGATCGACCGGATCGACGGCATCGGCCTCGGTGGCGCCGCAGGTCACCGGGGATCACCTGAAGGGCGAGACGCCCACCGGCAGAGTCGACGGGGCCGGGGACCAGACGGAAGGGAGGTTCTTCGGCATCAAGTCCAAGCTCTGCGACGTTGGCATTGGCTTTGACGTGAGTGAAGTATATAATTTTCTTGGTAATAGATTAATTATGTTGATGCTAATGATAATGATATCATACTAAAAGTAATGGCAACGACGTAGTAAACAGTTATAGACATAAATGGTTGTGGTAACTCAATAAACACGGGTCTGCTCGAGCATAAAGATACACTCGTTTCTGCGGAGAAAGGAAGGCCAGTATGACACTTGATGTGAAAGTTCCAAGTAGCTTTTGCGGTCAATAATCGCTCTTATCAAGCACTCGGAGCCTTTCACTTTTGTCGTGCTTGTTTCCTGGTACGGCGTTTTGGCTTCACTTACCTCATGAACAGTTGAAGAGTAATATGTAGTAGAAGATGTAATTGATATACAATATATAAGTAAATTTAGTGATCTCAAACTAGTTATTTTTTAGCATTCTTTTGCGTATTAAAGTCTTCGAATGAAGCTAATCCCCCGCCCATCGCCCGCAGTGCAAGAAGGGCTACTACAAGGGCGACCACATCAGCCCCTACGACATCAGCTACGTGCAGCCCGTGCAGGTGGTGCCCGTGGGCGG